GGACTCAAGCGCTTGACTGCCATCTTGAGTCTTACAACCGACTTGGGGAACGCCATCATCGACAAGGATCTTGTTGCTGGCAAAAAGAAGGAAGGGCTTTGAAAGGATTTGGAAAACGGGTGCGAAGATCACCCAAACCACCGAAACACCATGGTATCTCGCGACGTCTTCCGGCTCCCGCCCGCCGCGGCTGCTCTCGTGCTGCTCTCGAATCTCTTCACCACCGCCGACGCCGTCGCCGTGCTCCCGCAAAAAACGCAGCACCTCCCCTTCCGTGTACTCGATGTCGTAGACTGGCCTCTGCAGACGCCGATGCCATGGCTCGGAAGGAGACAGGACTCCAGCACCAACACCGTCTGCGGTTACATCGGCGGCGACCCAGGCTTCGCGGCAACATGCTCGGCCGGCTCGCACTGCGCCATGGACGCCTCCGTCTCGGCCGTCGGCTGCTGCCCGAACGGCGTCGCCTGCACGACGGGTGTCTACACCAGCTGCGTCGACCAGAACAGCCCCACCCCGTCGGCGTACGACCCGTACGTCTACACCTGCCAGGGTTCCAACGTGTGCTACAAGAACACCTACGACGGCGGCGCCTACCAGTATGGATGCGGCACGAGCACCCAGGGCTTCTACGTCGCGGCCACCGCCTCGGGGCTGAGCACGACTGTCTCCATCACCCACGTCTCCGGCATCGTCACCAAGGCCGCCAGCACCGCGTCCAGCTCCAGCTCCGGCAGTTCGTCCGCGTCAAGCTCTGACTCTTCGACGACGAGCTCCTCGTCCACGACCACCAGCAGCTCCAGTTCCAGCTCCTCGCCAACCTCGCACGCGCCCAGCTCCACTTCTTCGCACCCTGCGGCAAGCGGCGGTCCTCACTCGCCGCCGACGCAGGCACAGCAGGACGCCGCTCTCGCACGCAACGGCGGAATCATCGGCGGAACCGTCGCCGGAGCCGCAATCTTCGTCGCCATTGTGTCCGTTGCTTTCTGGATGGGCAAGCGTAAGGGCAGGAACCAGCGTGTGGGCCCCGGCCAGGGCAAGGGGCCTTCATATATCAGGTATAATATCCCATCTCGCCTCATCACTCCACATCCCCATCCCCATCATATCGTTCGATCGGAAACGCTAACCCACATTCCCAGCCCCATGACGAACCAGAAGGACTTCACCCAGGTTCCGGGTCAGGACACCATGTTCGACCAGGCCGGCTACGGGCACCCGTCCATGATGCCCGGCGCGCATGGGACCACCACGTCTATCACGGGAGGCAACGCCGCCCACAGCGGAGGGTCCGTGAAGAGTGGTGGTGCCGGCGGCGCCGTTGCATCGGGAGCGGTCCGTTCCGGCAACGGGGGCGAGGATGAGATCCCGCTGACGCACCAGAATGAAATGACGGAGTTCCTGCGCGGCTACCACGAGGCCATCTCCCGTCCTGAGGGAGATGAGGTCCGCCAGGGCAGTGCTGGAGGTAATAGCACGGCGACGGGTGCCACTGCGACCGAGTTCGGCGCGGCCCCGAACGCGAATGCTGGCGGTGGTGATATCACGGAAGAGAGGCCATTGTGGCAGCAGAACAGGAGGCAGAGCCGGAACTTGATGTGGATGTAAGATAATATGAAAAGAACTACAGTGCATGCGGGGGAAGCAAATGGAACATGGGTTATTACAGGTACAGAATACGGTGTTTTGGAGTTGGCATATGTCTCTTAGCCAGGGACACAAAGACACTTTCTAATCAAATGATTGTCTAATCACACACATAATCGCCAATGGTATATAATCGCTGTACTGAGCATGACTGGTTCCGAACATGGCGGCCGGCTCACCCAAGCTGTTCGGCCTCGGTCGCTATCGAGAGACCGGCCCGTTCAGCCCTAGTTCATAAAAGCAAAGCCGTTCAACATGAACGCTCGAAAAAGTGGGATTTAGTCGCGGTAACAACGCAGCCAAGACATTTGCAGTCGACTGAATGACTTCAGCCGACGGGATAACGTCGCTCTTCTTGTAATCGCGAAAGCGCGAGTTGAAGCTGTTCCGACCATCCGGAGTACAACCCTGAACAGACCATCGACATCACTTCAAGTCGAGCATAGCCTGTGAGCAACTATAAATGATGACCGGTGTGAATTCAAATGATGAGGCTGTCATCATAGTCAACTTGAACTCACTCACGATATAATACCCATTCCGACATTCTCATCATCATTCTAGAAACCAACATGTCTTCTCCGAACCTCCATGTCGCAGTAATCGGAGCAGGTGCGCCAAGATCGTGCCTATCGTCCCGAAACAACCCACGTACTAACGAGCCCCAGGCGCCACCGGCCTCCTCCTCGCCCAAGGACTGAAAAAGGTTGCCCGTCCATCTCCACACACGGCCACGAACACACACACAAAGATGCTAACCCGCGCAGGCCAACGTCCGAGTCTCCGTCTTCGAGACCCTCCCCAGACAAACCTACGAGGACAACCCGCGAACGTGGACGATGGCCCTGCACTGGTCCCGCCGCAACGTCGAGCAGTGCCTACCGCCCGAGCTCTTTGCCGCTCTGAGCAGCGCGCACACGAACCCCTGGCACGAGCCCTCGCACGACGAGGCCCAGAGCCTGCCGGTCGTGGACGGCAAGACGGGCGAGGTGCTGGTCGCGGCGAAGGTGGACGACGGCAGACGGGTCGTGCGCAGGAAGCTGAGGGATCTGTTCCGGCGGGGGATCGATGGGAGGTTTGGGTATAAGCTGGCTGGGGTCGATACGAGTGGAGAGGGGGTCACGGCTACTTTTGAGAATGGCGAGGTGGTGCGTGTGGATGTGCTTGTTGGGGCGGATGGTGGTGAGTTGCGTTTGGCTGGGTTGGGGGAATGTTGGTTGACTGACGTGTGGTAGCGAAGAGTGTTGTGAGAGATCACCTCGTGGATGGTGATGCCAAGGAGCTGGATCGGGTCCCGTTGATTTCTACGGTATGTGATGAGGAGTATGAGATATGTGCCGAAGTTACTAACGTTAAGACAGAACATTGGATGCCGGTACACGGCGGAGCAAGCTCGATTTCTCAGGAGCAAGATTCACCCGATTGCCAATGTAAGTTGTGAGGGTTGCCGTTGTAATGGTCACAAAACTAACAAAAGTCGAGATGGCTGTTCATCCAGACCAAGACACGCTGTTCTTTCTCGCTGGTGGGTTACATCTCCTGGATGATGTGTGCTTGAGCTGACTTATTACAGTGGCCGATGTTCCTGATCCCGAGGACCCGGAAACCTGGGAGTTCCAGGTCGCGCTGTCTCTTTGGAGCACCGAAGATCCTCCCGAGACAAACGAGTACAGGATGAAATATTTCAAGAAGCTCGCGGAGCCGTACTGCGAGCCGTACCGGTCTGCTGCGCTCTGGGTGCCGGAAGATACATACATTCCGCGTGACAAGGTATATTACGTTCAAATCTTATCAACATCTCACTGAAGTCACTAACTGGGTATAGTACGCAGAGTGGAAGAGAATTGCACCATGGAACAACTTTGGCGGGCGCGTCACGGTTGCCGGCGACGCCGCGCACCCCATGTGTCCCTGTGAGTGCGAATCTCAAGCCCGAGGGCAACTTTACTAGGTCTAACCGTGAGAACCTCCAGTTCGTGGCCAGGGCCTGAATAATGCACTGCAGGACGCCGGAAACCTGGTCAAGGCCATCGCGGCGGTCCAAGAGGGCCGGCAGACTCTTGCGGCGGCGATCGACGAGTACGATGCGGAGGTGTACCAGCGAGGCAAACGGGAGATTGAGATCTCGGAGGAGTCAATGTTTGGACTTCACCACTACAGCGCGATCAAAGGATCTCCCATTGACCGCATGGGGTTGAAGGAGCAGAAGGCCTAGGGGTAGCTGCCGTCTGTACAGATAGCTAGCTGCTCCAATCTCGGAGCCGAAAGCCGGTGCGGGGAGCTGGCGGGGCCGTCAAGGACCCGCTGTCGGAAGAAACCCACTATCTGGGAGGGGGGCCGGACCGGAGCTGGTGCTGGGGTCTTTTCCAAAACACATGTCTGGCTTTGCGAAACCGCTCAGGCTAATGCATCTGATAAAACGGTATCTCAGGTGATGAGGTGTTACCGGCTGGTGGTGGGCAGCAGCAGCCAACCCGGCAGACCCGAACACGAGAAAAGCAATGGTTTTGTGGATTGTTGTTTATTGTCCACTGCATCGACCTTGCGAGGCTCTCTTCTCGTCTCGTCTCAATAAATGCTGGGAGGCTGAACTGAGAGGCTCCTTTTGGCGATGATCTCTATCTGCTTTTGAAGCACCCCTTTTACTTTAAGGGTCCTCGGTATCTCTGTAGAAACGGCAAATTGGCCAATGGAATTCTCAATGTCCAATCACAATTAGCGAATTGAGAGGCCCTGTCCAAATAGCAGCGACCAAGGCCCTTACCGTTCTTTATCGCTACAAACATAGGGGCAAGCCACAGGGTACAGGACCTGGGGGAGGTGGGCGGTGAAGACTTTTTACACACTTCGTGGCCTCAACTGACTTGGCGAGGACGGTCTGTTGGTGGGGTGTTGTCGGGGCCCCTGGGGCTGGCAGCCACTCAGGTGCCGTTGAGACCTGTTTTTTCAGCGACCCCTGCGTGGTGGTGCCCACTCCCAGTTCGCTGGAGTGGGTACAAACGGGCGCCGCACGACGCGCAAGCCGCTTAGATTGGCTGGACTCACTGCTCAGGCAATTCCAGGAGCACAGGTTGGGACGGTGAGCCTGGGACACCAGCAGGGTAGCAGCCACCAGGGCCAGACAGACAGAGAGGCCCAGCACCCAGAAAGCCACCAGGGCCTGAGAGACTCCCCCCGGCGCGGGCGCGTCTAGAATGACGGAATGAGCTCCCAGCTTAAATCTGTCCACACGGCCGGCCAGCCACAGAGGTTCACCTTCAAAACCACCACCACACCCCCTTCCCTCTGCTGAGAGCCGCATCGTGAAGAAACACTGCCCGTTTCTCACGAGTCCAACCTACGGATACTTCACCATGGCGTCCGAGAAGCTCAAGGGCGACCAGCTCGAGGGCGACATCACCTTCATCAAGACCCCTCCCCAACCCCCCGCCAAGTTCAGCACCACCGAGGACTGCGGTGTCAAGACCACAGACGTGAGTTTTTTTTCCTCCCCTTTTTTCAATCCATGAGAAGAGAGAGATGTGTGGTCGCACGCATCCAATTGAGCTCAATTGGCTTCATCTGAATAACCTCCCGCTAACCACCGTCCTCTCACAGTACCCCGCCATCTACAATGCGCCACTTCCTGCTGAGGGCCCCGGCCACGAGTCCTTCTCGAACTGGGTGCTCGGAGCTCTCGTCTTCGGCGTACCTTGGTGGCTCACCCGCTCCGTTGGCGGCGGCTGGAAGACCTACACCTTCTTCCTCCTGCTCTGCTTCTTCCCGGCCCTGATCGTCGTCTGGACCATCGCCTCCACCTACTCCCCGCGCATCAACGACAAGGCCAAGCTGCCCGGCCGCCCCGTCGAGCACTACATCACCTTCAAGAAGGAGGCCGACAAGCAGCGATGGAGCGGTCGCAACAAGATCCCCATCAAGACCTTCTACGAAATGTACTTTGACGGCGACGTCGAGTTCAACGGCGACTGCCTCGAGATCATGGAGTACCGCCACGACTGGTGCACCTTCCAGTTCACTTGGGCCGTCCTCAAGTTCATCCTCTTCACCTTCTTCCGCGACGTCGCCTTCCACTCCCGCGAGCAGGACGAGGAGCAGGTCCGTCCCACCTACGACTCCGGCAACGACCACTACGCCTGGTTCCTCGGCCCCCGCATGATCTACACCTCGGGCGTCTTCTCCGACATCACCCGCGAGGAGACCCTCGAGGAGATGCAGGACAACAAGATGGCCATCGTCTGCGAGAAGATCGACCTCAAGGAGGGCGAGACCATGCTCGACATCGGCTGCGGCTGGGGAACCCTTGCCCGCTTCGCCTCCGTCAACTACGGCGCCCACGTCACCGGAGCCACCCTTGCCCGCAACCAGGCCGCCTGGGGCAACGACGCCCTCCGCCGCGCCGGCATCCCCGAGACCCAGTCCCAGCTCCTCGTCTCCGACTACCGCGACATCCCCAAGAAGAAGTTCAACAAGATCACCCAGCTCGAGATGGGCGAGCACGTCGGCATCAAGCGCCTCACCGGTTTCTTCCGCCAGTGCTACGACATGCTCGAGGATGACGGTGCCATGTACGTCCAGCTCTCCGGCCTCCGCAGACCCTGGCAGTATGAGGACCTCATCTGGGGCACCTTCCTCAACAAGTACATCTTCCCCGGCGCCGACGCTTCCACCCCTCTCTGGTACTACATCTCTTGCCTCGAGAAGGCCGGCTGGGAGATCAAGAGCGTCGACACCGTCGGTGTTCACTACTCCGGCACCCTCTGGCGCTGGTACCGCAACTGGCTCGGCAACGCCAACGCCATCACCGCCAAGTACGGTCAGCGCTGGTACCGCATCTGGGAGCTCTTCCTCGCCTGGTCCGTCATCGCCTCGCGCCAGGGCTCCGCCACCTGCTTCCAGATGGTCGCCGTCAAGAACCTCAACGCCGTCCACCGTATCGACGGCTTCGCCTCCCAGTTTGGCCTCTCCGGCGCTCTCGCCGCCGCCAAGGCCAAGGGCAAGGCCATTCTCAAGCAATAAGCGACAGAAACGAAAGCTCTTGCATCTGCGTTTGCAAACGGGGGAGCGGCAGCATGTCTTTGCGGCCTTGCGTTCCATGCTTGAAAGGAGTGTTCCCAACCTCTTGTTCTTCGGCGTTTGGACTCGGTGACTTGGAGTCGAAGGGCTTACATACAAAAAAGGGGGCAGGGGCGGGCGGATTTTTCAAGCACACGTTTTGTCATGTTCAGGGATGAATGAGACCAGTGACTTTGTAAAAGTTTGGGGGGACGACTTGAACGCGATGTGTGGCATGGGTGTGGATCTGGTTACATAGAGCAGTGCGGCGACGCGCCGCCTCATGGGCCTTGTTGCAAGTCTACTTGGTCTCGATGCGAAATAGAATTGTTCGCATACTTGTGTTCTTCTCAGTTTCTTGTGATGCTCAGTCTCGAAGTCTCATCGCCACGTTGTGATATTATCCCGTGAACCCTGATGACTGATCCTTGCGGTTATAATTACTCAATAAATATCTACATTGAAGGTAAATCATGTCTACATGTAGCCACAAACCTATATCCTCAATATATTAATAGGGATACTCAAAGTTGGTCGAAATCTTGATCGTCCACGGGTCGCCCTTGGTCATCGACTTGACCCTTCCCAACATAAACTCGGCATGCCTCAGCGCGACGCCCGGGTTGTACTGCGGGACCATGTGCCCGCTCAGCTTGGCCGTCGAGTGCGTGAACCCGCGCTCCGTGTGCACCACGCCCTGTACGTTGCCGCCGGCCCAGCTGATCACGTTGTCGTCGGTGTTGTCCACATCCGGGAGCAGCAACTCATCAACGGGCTGCGTCTCGAAGCCCTGCTTGCCGTTCCACCGGATGCGCTGGATGCCGAGCGCCGTGACGTTGGGCTGGATCACGTAGTCGGCCTGGCCGGAGCCGACGTGCACGTTGTTGGTGCGCTCGACGAGCGTCTGGAACTTGGCCTCGTGCTCGGTGCCGTTGTAGTTGTCCTCGCCGCCGACGAAGACGGGGTCCTGGCACTCGCTCCAGGAGGGGTAGTCGACGGGCACGTGGATGGCCTTGCGGACCTCGGGGATGTTGAAGTACAGCGTCGTGTTGGGCGGGGAGTACATGACGGACGGGAAGCCGAGGACGTCCCACAGCACGGGGCAGGTGTCGAGGACGTGGTAGCCGTTGAAGCAGGGGTTGATGGCGTTGATGTAGTTGTCAAAGTGGTTCACAACATCATAGTCGGGGTCCCACTTGACGCTCTCCCAGGGGGTCGGCGGCGGCGGGTAGGCGAGGTGCTTGGCGAGGTAGGCGTCGAGCTCGCACTTGTCGTTGTCGGCGTCGAGCTGGGCCTTCATGCTCTTGGAGAAGCCGAAGACGTTCTCCCAGTAGCGGTGGAAGGCGGGGAGCGCGGCGTGGTCGAAGCCGAGGTCGTCCGAGTAGGGCATGACGGGGTCGTAGTAGAGGGCGCCCTTGACGTTGTAGTAGGCCGTGTCGTTCTTGTCGAGCATGGCGGCGCCGACGTAGGGGACGTAGATGCCGGCGTAGCTCTCGCCGGCGATGTAGAGGTTCTTGCCCTGGAGGTCGAACGTGGAGACGAAGTTCTTCCAGAAGGAGGCGAACTGGTCGGCGGTCTCGGCGTTGTTCGTGGCCGTGACGTTGCCGGAGCTGAAGCCGGTGCCGATGGGGTACTCGACCCTGTGACGGTTAGCTTGCGAGGCCTCAGGAGTGGAGCGGGAGGGCGTACCAGATCACGTTGGCAAGCTTGTGCCATGACCAGGCGTTAGGGACGGGCCTGATGGTTCCGTACTGCCAGAGGAACGGGCCGTTCTCTTGCAGGAATCCTGATGGTTGTAAGTGATGGGAATCCTCGGTATTACGTCGAAATCGGCTTACCCTCCATGGATGAGCATCCCGGGCCGCCATTGAACCAGATGATGACATCGTCCTTGCCGGCGGGGTTTTCGGTCGGGAAGAACCAGAAAAAGTTCTTCTGCTGCTCGGCTTCCGGCTTCGTCGCGTCGACGGGAATCAGGCCGGCATAGCTTTCGCCAACGTTGAAGTTCACCTCAGGGATCGAGGTTCCATCAACGTAGAAGCCTGCAATAGTGAGGACGCTTAGCGAGAATCGGTCTGAAAGCTGGATTGTCGAGCGTCCACTTACCACTGGTCTTGTTGTTGTAGTACTGCAAATCGCTCCGGCGCAATGGTCCCCGCTCCTCCACCTGCTTCGGCACTGCGGCCTGGCGGTTCGCGAGACGCTGGCGGTGGGCGTGGGGTGAGACCCAGGCCGAGACGAGGGGCAGGGCGGCGAGGACGCCGGCGACGATGCTTGACGAGCGCATATTTCAGGGACCGATGAGGCTCAAGGGAACGAAGGAGCTGCCAAGCAAGAGCCAAGGAGGGCCAAGAAATGTGCCTTGCATGCCATGGAACCAACTATATATCGAAGCATCGCACCCCACGATCGGACCGCCGGCGAATCGCTCGCAAACGGAGCCCTCCCGAATGACGCCATGGGCATTTAGAAAGAGTGGACATATCTAACCCAAGGAGGCATGTCGTTGTTCATATTGTATTGCTGCTCATATATGATGCGCAAATGATCAATTCGTATCGACAGTGCGTAGAGTGCTGCTCCAAAGTTAACGCATGGTGATTAGCTACGGATTAGGCAGGTCAAAAGCTGAATTGGACCGCGTTACTGGATGAATTAGCTGATAAGCATGCCGAAGTGCCGAGATGAACAAGGCCCTTGTGGTGGAGCGGCTTCAGGGATGGGCTGCCGCGGTGGGATGAGGCCTAAAGCTTGTTTTTTGCGCCCACCCCGCACCGGGCGGGCATCCCGGACTGGCGCCGCAGTGCTGTCGGCAGTCGGTGGCGCATAGTGAGCCTCCGGGCCTGCCGTCTCCGGTCTGTACTTTGTCCAGAGTCTGCGCAGCTTGACGGCCGGTTTCTCGCCCCGGAGCACTTGTGGAGTCAAGTCAAGCCCTCGGACGCTCCGCGGAAGCACCGCAATCCAAATTCGCGAAGGACTCGTCGCTGTCAGCCCCGAGTCAAGAGAATTGGCTCTGTCAGCTGTTATGTTGCTTTGGTCTTGGCACTGTTTCTAAGTTAGATTGCTTCATTTACGACAGAGGGAAGAACAGTGGTGTCTGGCATATCTGACATACACTTCAAAACTTCTTCGTCTCGTGCTCTACTTACCTATATGGCCATATCTGGTCGTCGTTTCAAATGCTCAAGCACTTAGGTGGTGACCGTGGGTCGCTTTGCAAGTGATCTGGATTAAACGCAATACAGTACATAGTCTAAGAACGGATATTCACAAACACCTTTGTCAGCCTTTGCCAGCTAAGAATACAATTCTATAGGACTAAAGGACGCAGGCGCACGCTGGATGAGACCAACATGTTCTTCCGCCCTTTTCAGACCTGTCACATAGATCATACTCTTCTAAGAAACCGGACTAGCGGCAACGCAATACCTAACATGAGGCCAAATTCAGTGACGGGTATGAAGCCAGGTCTTCATAATCTGGTACAACAATTCACCCTACACTAGATGCTGCCATGACGTAGATTAACTGTCATACAAGCATTGGGTGAACTGCTTTACCTGTTTATGAAGGCGTGGTCTGACATAATCTAGGCTAAATACCCTGCCATACTTTGCCGACAAACGTTACTCTTTCAAGAAATAGTCTGAGCCTGTTGACTTTGCAATGGGCCTCCAATGATAACAACCAGGAAATCCGATAAAAGCATCGGAGGGATGGCTTGCGTGGCATCAGTGGTCGTGGTCATGATGGGAATAGTGGTGGCAGGCGGTGGTGCGGTGGTGCTGCTTATCCTTGTCGTGGAGGAAGCGGGCCTCGAGCTACCAGCGCTCGTAGCTGGGATGGTGGAAGATTGCGAGGAAGTGGTGGGACTGGACAGCGTGGGAGGTGTCTGAGCTGATGATCTTGTGATTTGACTTGTTGCCGTGCTGGATTCTCCGACTGGGCCACTCGTGATGCTGCTAACTGGCGTGAAAGTCGTGCCGCTCGTGCTGGAGGTGGTGTTGGTGAAGCGTGGACCAGTCACTGAACTAAAAACCGGGCTGTTGGTCGTAGCAGGGATGCCGCTCAAGCTGGTTGCGGGTGAACTGCCGGTGATGGTATCCAAGCTGCTAACCCCTTGATCACTGCTTGATGTGCTGCTCGAAAAGCTGCTCGCGGCATTGTTGGAGGCACTGGAAGTGCCAGCAGAGCTCGACGTACTAGTAGAGCTTGAAATGCCAGTAAAGCTTGACGTGCCATCCTGGCTGGTCGTCTGAAGTGTGTTCGAGATGTTATTTACGCTGCTTGAAGTACTCATCGATATTGCCGGGCCAGAGTTTGAAGACGTGGAGATGCTCGTGATCGCGGATGTTGATGATGCTGTGAATGTGCTTGCTAACCCAGTGCTTGTGGAATCCGAACTAACGATCGTAGTACTCATCAAACTCACAGATGTTGATGACGAAATCTCCGATGTAGAAGATGTAATTGTCGAGGTCATTGTGCTGCTACTTGTCGGGGACACTGTGGTACTTGAAGGGACAGAAGAGCTTGTCGACGTCGGAACCGAGGAGCTTGATGAGCTAGGCGAGGTTGTAGATATGACCGAGCTCGTCGAAGTCGTTGACAGAGTATACGTTGATATTGAAGAAGGCCCGTAGACTGAGAAGAGCGTTGTGCCGCTAACAATTCCTCCGCATGATGCCGTTGCGGTCAGGATGCAATAGCCATCCCAGTATGTCTGCGTGCCTGGGCAAGGTCGAGTGCAGGGGTCCTGGTTTGGGGAATTTCTTGGTGGCGGGGGATTGACAAAGACGGGATCGGGCGAATTTAGTTTCGAGCAGTAGCAGAAGCTGTCGATTACGAGAGAAAATCGCCGGTTGTTGTTCGCACACGTCGTCTGGCAAGAGGCTGGCGTGTTGGACGACGAGGTGGCCAGGAGATCCAGATTCGCGAGTCCATCTACGACCGCTCCACATCCG